GGGTTTCTTCGCTTTACTAGGTTTGAAAAAATTTAAAGGTCTCTAGAAAGTCACTGATCAGATATGAAGAAAAAAACTGAGCAATTTGATTTGACAACTACGCTGGAAACTTAATTGTCAAATCAAATTCAATCTTCTTAGATTATGAGGTAATGTCAAATCATTTTACATTGCCTGATAAACTAAGAAGAAGAGAATTTTCATACGCTTGAAAATGAAACAAAATTGAAGACTTGTAATGCTCGATAAAATGCGAGCAAGTATTGACCGCCAAGCAGTGAGCACATTCAAAAATCTATTGATGCAGGAAAAATATTTATTCCACTACCTTGATGCTATTAATTCTAAAAACATTTCAATCCATCAGAAGGGCACAACATCGATATTAGGAATCGATATTTACGACTAAGCTATAAATTCGCAAACATCGATTGTGCCGTTATTGTTTTTACTATAACTCCAAAAAAAAATTTTTTTAACGTATGCGCAATGACTGGTAATGATGATCATAAAGAGTTAAACTCCTTCATACATTTTATAAGAATAAGTTGGCATCACTGGATATGTTAATGGCCCTTACAAAAATTAATGTAGGCATTAAAATGCACTGCAGTGGCCAATGTAAAAGAAAACAATAAAGAAACTATTAAATTCAAATAAGATCACAGCGTAAGAAAACCAGGAAAGTATAGCTAACATTTCAGGCAATTTTTTCGTCTATTTATGTTAAAAACAAAGCAAAATATATAATAATAAAGACTAAAATAAAGCACACATAAATCTTTTCTTTTTCTTTCCTTAGAGACCTTTCTATCGAAGAAGTTAAGCACATGCGCGTAAAAACATTTAATTTATCAAAGTTTGAAGCTTCCCAGATCTTTGTTTTTATTTATTAATTTCTAGTCGGGGTGGAATTTGATGCTAGGAAATTCTTCATAAAGATAAATGTGAATTTCTGTTAGAGTTGGTACTAGGCCATGCAGTTTAAAATCTTCCAATTTTTCAGAGAAACTTCCGTCTACGTCCGCTCTGAAATACGTCAAACACAACGGGGTTAGTTACAATACCATATGACGAAAAAAGAGATTGTTGGAAATTAAGATAATGGCATGCGTAACCGAGGATTGGTTATTGCATACTGTATACTAAGTACAAATGCGAAAAACAAACACACTATTAAGTCTGCTAATACTGCGAAGGGGCCAAAACTCAGTACCAAACAAAGAGAGAAAACGTTTGAGCCTGTTGAAAATTTGCTTTTGGTTCGGATAGCAGAAAAACAATTACGTACAGTATCAAGTGCATTGCTTCGTTTATGTACGGTATATGTATATTTAACCCACTGCATCTGTACTTTATTAAACAGTGTTATAACAATAACAACGGTAGGATTTGTTTCATAAAAACGGATTCATTTAATTAAGACACAATAACACGCCGGATAAATACTAATTCAGAAGTCCAACAACAAAAATCAGCGTTATATTTTAAAAATTTTCACAGGACTAGTTTCGATAGTTTTACCGAACCACCATCCTCAGCTGCAAAACCGCATTCATTTGCGGTTTATATTATCAAAGTATAATTTTTTTTTTATTTTTTCCCCCTTGCATTTTGGGTAAAAAATGTGTTAAATTTTAGGATTACTAGATATGTTACCACACAAATATTATCAACATTGCACTTTTATATTTATCACATATTTTTATTAAGGTATGAGGAATTAAATGGAACAAAATCCAATAATAAAAGTAAAATATCCTCTATTAAATATATCTGTTTGAATACACACAATAGCTATTTTTCAAGAAATTTCCCTTTTTACAAAATTATCTGAAAAAATTTCAGATAGTGGAAAGTTCCATAAAATTATCATAAAATTATTTAAGTTAAAGCACTTTTTGTTTCTTAACAGAAAAATTTAAAAAAAAAAGTCAAGTTTTTCAAAAAATAGGTTTAGTGCAAATACAAACGGAAGTAAAAGAAAATGTTGGCAAGTATGAAATTAAAGTGTAAAACTAATTGTTCCCGAGCACTTAATAACAAATAGAAAGGTTGCAGAGATATTAGGTTATTTTTTGAAAGCAGGAGAGATGAAAAATGAGCAACATCTTCGCCGGGACTCGAAACACGGGTCTCTCGAATACGCGCCGAGCGTGCTGACCAATACACTACGAAGGCATGCTAAAAAGGCAGGAAAAGTACCTTATAAGGTTCTAAATAATCTTTTGAACGTCACCAGAAGTATTTAAACGAAAATTCTCATTCTAAAGTTATTTAGAGTAGTCTGTATATTATACGTCAGCGTCCGGGTTCTTAAAATTTCTGGTTCGCACCGTAGAGCAACAATAACCATAATTCTGCTCCTACGACGGAAGAGACAAAATTAAAGTAGTTTCGAGAAGCTTAATGTATAAGCTTTAAAATAAAGTGATAAATATTTTTCGAAAAATTTACATCAAGATTGACGATTAGAACGTAGTCGGATACCTTGAGTGTGCATTTAATCAATAATTAAACAACATCAGACATTGTTAACCTCAAGTCACGAGCATAAGTAAAAAACCTCAAACCATGGGCCTCAAACCCCGGGCATAAGTAAGAAAAGTACTACACAAACAGTTTAAGCTAAGAATCTGTAAGATTGTGAAATTAACTCGTACAATATGCTGAATATTTTTCTACACAGAAGACTGAAATACATGTTGGCAAGAAATTTTAATCAAATTTTACAAATGATTTTTTATGGTCATTTTTGGGTCATATGGTAGGAACAACTGGCCTAGCAATTTTGCTAAATCAGAAGCAAAATTCATATATTTGTATTTTATTGAAAACAATATTTTAAACAATATTTCTCAAACCTTTTAATCACGCGATCCACTCGTACACAGCTACAATTAATGACAACCCACATACCTTGTAATTGCGATTCACCATAATCCATAAGCATATAGTCATGATTCATCGCAACCGACATCCATATAGCTGGGATTCATCGTGACCCACTCGCATATAGTTGCGATTTATTGTGATCCACATATATGTAACTGGGATTCATCGCGACCCATACGTAAAGAATTGTGATTCATCGCAACCCAGATGCATGTAGTCACGACTTAACGTGACCCACAAACACGTATAGTTGCGATTCATCGCGATTTCCATGCATAAGTTGCAACTCCTCGCAACCCATACACATATAAGTGCGATTCATCGCAACACATACGTATATAAGTGAGATTCATCGTGATTCACATGCATGTAATGGAGATTTATCGCGATCCACATGTATTTAGTTGCAATTTATGGCGACCTATATGTGCATTTATGATGTGTCATGACAAACAGGCATATAGTTGAGATTTATAGTGCATGCATGAAATTGGGATTCACTGCGACTCACAAGCATATAACTGCGATTCTTCGCCACCCATACTCACGTATTGCAATTCAACGCAGTCGCTCTCATATAGTTATGATTCATTGCGACTGACAAAATTTCTCCGAAAGAAAGGAAAGAAAAAAAAAGAAAAGAAATTTCAAGAATAAAATAATAACGAATAAACATACATTATTGCTAACAATTACGATTTGAAATTACCAATAAAATCACAGCTACAGATAAATATGTATATAACAACATAATAAGCAAAAAGAATAGGTAAAAACTTTTTGCGACCCACCAAATTTGGTGATGCTGGAAAACAGCCTTATCCCAAAACAGCCTTGAGAATTTTATTCCCGATTTAGCACGAAACAGAAATAACTTTTGACCATCATTCCCATATTCGCCTTCGTTTTCCACCCTCTCGTATTAACATAAAGGACTTTGAGTTTCTTATACTCCACTGTCCATTCGTTATACTAAAATTAACCCGCATGTCTTCGCATTCGACCTTTCTCAAAGAAAGATCTCCAGCAGTTTTTTTTCTCTCTTCTTTTTACTTTAGTTAGTCTGTCGCACTATACCGTACTGGCTATGTTATGAGATCTTTTAATAAGTCTTAGAAAAATGGAACATATTTAAAACTGACAAGGTCAAAAAAAATCCTAGTTTATAATAGCAGGTCTTTCGGAATGAACATACATATAAAAGTGGAAACAGGCATTGCGTTTGCAGATCTAATAATTGCAACTGAAGTATACTAATATGTGCAGAATAGAGAGGCAATGATCAAAAAGGTTATAAATCGCACAACAGGTTTTGTTTCGATTTGGTTTACTTGACAATGGCAAACCCCTCAAAGGCCACATGGGTAAGAGGAAGAATGCCTTCGTGGAGCACTTTCTAAGGAAAGTTGGCTGATAAACAAGCACACACTGCAAACAAAAAATTAAGTACAGAAACACAATATTTATACAGTACTGTTTTAGTATATAATCGTATCCCAACAAGATAAATTATAATAAAAAAAGTTAATCATTAAAAACACCGACTTTAATTTAAATAAAATAGACATAATAATTAATATAAATAAATATCATATAAATAAATAGATATTACATAAATACTAATTAATATAAATAAATAGAAGGGGATGTAAAAACACAGACTTCGTTACAAATGAGTTGAGGGGGATATTTCCTGATCGGACTCAAATCGGAATAAAATTACTAAATCCTCCCCTCTGTGGCTCGAATGGGAACAAAATTTAAGGCTGTGTCAGGAAAGGACCCCGAAATGTATCTCCCGAGCTACTAGTGGTGGGCCACGACCAGTACTTTTACAACCACTGTTATGAACAATTTGAAACATACACACGTTTACATTTGGAACATATTTGTATATTATTGCATAAAAAACAATGAAAACAGCAAAATTAAACGGATAAAAAATGCTGCCTGTATTAAAAGAACAATACTAAAGTAATCCTTTGTCTTCTCAATTTCCAGTGCTTGGTATTCTCGAATCTTGCTAGAAACATTCTCCGTCATCAGCAAATCGAACAGATATCGGTTACCAAGAATAATAATTAAAAATGGCAAAATGTACTCACCTTCCGCTGGCTCGCAAGCAACAAAGGCACAAGAGAACAGCGCTGCAGTAATTAATGGAAGCCACGTGGGAGCCATCTTGGATTAGAAGGGCTTAGGCAATCGAACCTAGGTCAAGAACAAGAAACAAATGAAATTATTGCACATCTCCCAAGTCTTTAAATGAATTTATAAAAGGAAGTTACTGGTCGTCCCTCGATGGCACCTCTCTTCCGATGAGCTTATTTGATTACTTTAACGCCGGCATAAATCTATTAGCGCTTTAATTTGAAACATCGGAGTCTGTCATCGAGTTCGCAGGACATGGCACCGAATACTAGTTATCTGATTATCTATTGAATATTCATGAAGCAATTTTGCAAGATAACACGGAAAATTTATTAAAAGGATAATTTTCTTCAAAGCATAAGGAAATAACCAGTGTCAAACGCTGTGTTACAAGATACAATACGATTGCAAATAATAAATGACATCACTAACATAGCTCATCGCCTACAGTTACGCTCAGATTTAACGGAACCAGAATTGCCGGCTTTCTCATTGACAAAGATCTTCAAGATTTAATGTCAGTTCAGTGATGTTTGCCCATAATCATCTTGCTTGTCCTTGTCAATTAAATTTTACAGTCTCTGTCCTGTTAATAAGTGACAAAGACAGGCCAAGCGATTCATGCAGATACAAACGGGCAATGACATCAAATAAGGAAACAAACAAACAAAAAATTTTAAATTTTTGATATCTTCTAAATCACTGATGAACAGATTTTTTTGGAAGCAGCCCGAAAAATAAAAGAAAAAATCTCAAAGTTTTCAGATTTTAACAGTCCCCCAAACAGTTTGTTAAGGATTTCTACGCTCTGAGTTTGCAGCTTAGCAGTCTGCTTTTGTACTCACTCCTGCTAACCTATTTTTTTTGGGGGGGGGGAGAGGCAGGTGTCTTTATTAGCTTATTATTAAGCATCGTTTTCTTCGCACATACGCTACATACGGGTCAACAGAAAACTCACAAAAATTTTAAAAACAGTATATTAGCGTGTATTTAGAAATCCCATGCAGTGTTAAGTGTTGGCAAACATTTTTCTTTTTTTTTTTCCCGGTCTTTTCTGTTTATCATATCAATGTTCAAGTTTTCTTAGAAAGCTGGCTTACAAAACTTTTTTTGTCTTTTTATTATTAACGTTTTTGTGTGCTTCCTTTATTTATTACACATCACGTTCTTGGTGCTTACGCCACATAAAATTCGATTAAACACAAAAGTCACAAAATATTTAAAAAAAGCATATCTTTAGAATTTCCGATAGACTCGCGAGCTGGAGATAACAATGTTTTATTCCGTACGGTGTTGTTACTGTTCGCTTTCAAATCATTGAGTAATATAATATATGACCAACTACGTCTCACGTTCCTATGATTTACTACTTTCTACTTATATATATATATAAGTAGTAAGTAGTAAATCATAAAAATGTGAGAACTAGTTGATCACCCTCCTTTTCACATCTATCTATCTATCTATCTATCTATATAAATTACGGAATATAAAATTCAAAATTAGGGCTTCCAGATGCCCATTTTCTGGTGGAGGATTACGTTTTTTAAAACTGGATGGTTTAGGTAGCGTTGTTTTTTCACAGTGCAGAAACATACATACATTCTCGCAGACTTTTCATTATTTAATTTCTTTAAATATAATACAGGTCGATAATATTATTGTGGCAGCAGGCAGCAATATGAAAAGTGATAAAATGCATTTGAGTATTCGACGCAAAATGCTGATTCGAGACTAATATCCTAATCGGGACTGACGTCCCTTTTGGGCTAATAAAACTTTTAAATCGATATTATAAATACTATTTAGATACAGTTTGCTCTGTCAGATTAATTCTTAATATGTTTAGTTAATTTATATTCATTTTTGCTTGCTTATTTATATGTGTTGCATTTAAAAGTTTGCCGCTAAGGTGTAGATATACTATAAGAAATTTAATTACATAGAATTAATAAATGGTAAATTTATGGGGGGGAGGGAGGGACAGGGAAAAAGTAACGCAAACATTTGGAAAGCAAAATTGAATACAACAATTTTTTTCCCCTATTACTAATCATTTAACGTATTATTTTTATATAAAATATAAAAGATAGATAAAGTTTAAACAAAAGTTACTTAAGCACAAACCCACAACAGATAATATGAAACATTTGCAGCACTGAAACGTTTAAAATTTAGATCCGGTGCCTCCTTTTTTTAACTGTAACCATTACTGTGCAACTGCTGGATGAACAAAGCAAGTTTGACAAATAAAAATTGATTAAAAAAATTCAAGACGCTCTTTATTAGAGTTTTAAAGTGGCCGCCGTCGAAATATCTAAATTCTAAATTTTAGATATGTGGACAACAAAATCTCGTAACGGAAGAATAATTTTTGTAAAAATTCTAAATTTTATTTTCGCCATTTTAACACGTGTACGAACTGTAAAATCTAAAAACCCCCTCATATAGTAATTCAATTTATTTAATTCTAAAGAAACAAGGGTGAGTGTGTTTTCAGTTAAAGCCTCACGTTTACTCACTATTACAATCTTCGTACTCCATTACATTGCAACCAAATACGTCCGCAGTAAGGCGGGAAAAAATATACCAAAACCCTCTTCATTTTTATACCCCATTCGCTACCTTTCCTTCACGCAAGACATAACATCAAATGCTGATAAAGTCGACTGAAAGCGACTCTTGTCGGTGGGGAGCGAAAAAAAAAATGAAGATATATATATATATATATATATTAAATAAAAACTATTTCAGAAAGAACGTAATATTTTCCCCTCTCCGGCATCTTACCCCCCTTTCCCGGTTTTCAAAACAGGATCTTTTCACGTGTTCATTCAAGCAAATAGCGCAAAAATGTCCAAGAGTGAAACAACCGTCCAATGGCGTTAAAGGTCCAATATTAACTGGTGGCCAATTGATTTTGGAATTGTTCCAAAAAAGCAGACAAGGTACTATTCGTCGGTCGAACGAACAATTCAAAGATCAAAGAACTAGTGTAAAGTCAGGGGGTGAAGAAGGGTGAAAGTTCCGCTACCCCTCCCACATCATCCAATGGCGTGTTTGTGGCGCGAAGTATTATTATTGCAAACGACCCATGTGTAAAAGGAGCTAATTTTAATAGCATGACGGACAAATTCTTATAAATATCGTGACTTAATTTTTGCTCTTCCATTAAACAATACATCAAACAACAGGTATGTGAGAAAAAAAAAAAAAAAAAAAAAAAAAAAAAAAAGAAATACAAAATCGCCTTCAAAGGGTTAATTTTTGTGGTAAATAAGAAAATGCAGTTTCCGCACGCAACTTTTCCACACAGGAAGGCATTAATTAATACGCTGATCATGACTCTGAATAAACAATTTACTGTTCTACTAAACTGAACTAACCTCAGTGGTGCAACAGCCCTAGTGGGCCAAGGCCTGCAGTGCCCCCCATATCTGCTTTCTTGATAGTGGATCCTGGGGTGCATGAACATAGGGCCTAGACAAGTGGTCAGTTTGTCGCAGGACCCCCCGTTGTTTAGTACCCAAGCGAACTTGGTGCTCATTTTATCGACCCACTTAAGGGATGAAAGGCTGAGTCGACCTTGCCCAACCCGGGGATCGAACCCCGGAGCTGTGGTGCTGCTGCGCAACGCGCTAACCAATTTGCTGTATCTCCGATTTAATTTATACCGAAACTGCCAAAACACAATTTCTGACGTCCATTATGTTCTATAGATAAATAGTTCTTAAAAGTAGTAATGTCTTAGTTCTTAGAAATACCTTACAGTAACTTATTTAATAAAAACTATCTTCGATTTCAACGATTCAAATTCACTGTTTAACATCAGACTTCAAATCAGATATTTCTAGGGCAGTGGTCTCCGAAGTGGATTATACAAAGTGATACTTGGCGATACCCCAAAGATATAGGCTCTCTATTCTATATTTGAATATATATTGTACTCTATGACATATTATATGGGGTGAAACTCATAATTATTTTCATCTTAAGGGTCTGTGATCGATAAAACTTGGAGATGGCTATTCTAGGCCAATGGCTCCAAATCTTTCGCGTGTTCTTCCCAGATGCTTCTCGACCGTTCCACGAAAATAAAGTAAATGAAAACTGAATGGAATTGAAGAAATAAAAGACAAAAAACAGGATCACAAACATAAATTTAGAAGTTATATTCCTAAATCAGAAATTCATTAAGTTGAATTTTATGTCTCCTCCAGCAGACAACAGACCATACTCGGCCATTACTTGGAAATACATATTTCAAAAGCTTCTCGATCCTTCGAGAATTTTTGGAATCCATTCGAAGATCCTTGAAATTTAGCATTGAAACATTCGAAGATTTTTCAAAATTAAGCACTGCAAGAAGATTCTTGAAAATTTAGCATTGCAAATCGATAAACATTTGTCGATTTGAAGTCAATTCGAAGTGAAAGTTCACAACGATAATATCGTGATTTCTTAACAATTCTTCCACGAGTTTTCCGGGCATTTGATTTCCTTGATACATACATACAGATGCTTCATTATTTAATAATAAAGATGTGTCCAATGGTTATAAATTAAAATATGATTAATTAAGAATAAAACCTAACTGATAACTTTTATGAACATCAGAAGTTTTAGATATTTTCAACATCACATGCTATGTGATAGTATCGAATCATTCATTTCTTAATTTTTACACTTTACATTTTTTATGTTTTTTAAATTTTTTTACTGGTAAACTTTTCTTTCAAGTATTATATAGTAAATAGGTTAGAGTGCGAATTTTCTCAGGGTATTGCGTATGTGTGTGATTATGGCAAAGCCTCGAGGGCTATCTGTATAAGGGGAGGGATGCCTTCGTGGAGGACTTTCTAAGGAAAACTTGCTCGTATACACGTTACACATGGGGAAAACCACGAAAACGCCCAAGCAACTACCCCGTTCGCGGGATTCGAAAACCGCGGACGAACTACCAATGTTTAGCGACTTTACCGCTCGGCCGCTGGTGGGCCCTCGGTATTGTCTTATTATTACCATCTTTATTATATACGCGTATA